CCCCCTCTTTTCCTCTGTATTTGGGCTTCCTCTGTGTGGCTTGGCCTCCTGTGGCAGTAATTTTGAGGTTGCGCCCACCACATTTTGTCAGAATTCCAAAGGCACCCACAGGCTCAAAAATGTTGGGGATCCCTGACTTTAGAAGTAGGCAGTCATAGGAAACAACCCAATGGCTATATATGCAACTAACATCTGAATTGTAATAGTTAAAGACAAATTATGTACTAAGACAGGTTTCATTCATTCATAAATAATCTGACCATTGCTTCTACAGTATACAATTGACTGCATCTCAAGGTGGGGCTTGACACCAACAGGCAATTTTAAATACCACTACTCTTCCCAGTGATTAAAAAAAAATTCCCTGTGCAATAGACATTTCTAGCTCTAATGGAACCAAGGGGGTGCCCCTCGCATTCCAGAGAGATCACAAGTCGTCCCCTCCCCCCCACCTAAACCGTCACATACTCTGCAGGAACTTCCTCAGTTCTATTGTCTGCTTTCTTTATCAGAGGGGGCAGAATGAGATCCCAGCTGCTGCCTTGTTTGCATCTTTTCAGTGATGAGTAAATAAAAAATCACACTCATCTTGTTTTATTTTGTAATGATTATCTTCCTTGAAGTCAGAAGTGCTGAAGAATGTTTCTGCCATCACAGATGCTGTAATGTCAGTGAATCTTTCCAACATTGGAAAAGTGAGTCTGAGTATAATCGGCTCAGGATTTTGTCTTTTGATTTGTGATCTGTGATGGTTACATCAATTTCTAGCAACTTAGCTGTTCTGAGCATCCTCATTAGGAGAGATAGGTGCTGGATACCATACTCCCTCATCAGGGGATGTTTCTGAGGGCATCTTGGAGCTGTGACTGGACCCAACAGTGACCCCTCTTTGGTCTCAGACTCCAAAGAAGGCTGGTGATAGAACTGTGATGGGGGGGGAGTGTTCAGCTGCAGATGAAAGGTGTCAGATCTGACGATACATAGAACCAGGATCCATCTTAGGCCCATAATATTCATCTCTGTCAGGGGCATATGCTGGGGACGTACAGTAGGGATTCCAGGGCACAGGCAGGTGCCACTGCAGCCACACTGAGACTGCCAGGTCCAGGCGTGGAACTGATTGAGGCTCTTTTGAAATCATTAGAGCTGGCTTCATCTCCAGTTCAGACAGTGACCCGTCTGGGGAATTAGAATGCAAAGGTGTGCATGGTGGAATCAAAATCACCTCAGGCTGTTCCCAGACTGGTTCCAGTGTGGGAGGTGGTGGAGGTTTATGCTCCTTCAAAACCGATTTCAGCGACTTCCGGTTTAAGCGTTTCGCCGCTCGGATACGTCTCGTCTCGCTCGGATGGAGACGCGCCGAGACCCGGATGATGGGAGGGGTTTGGGTTCGTCCGGACTCCCCAGGGTCTCTATAGGAGACCTCCAGCCTGGGGAGCTGAGGAGAGCCTCTTCCAAGGGGACGCCCGAGGAATTGAGGCTCACCTTCTTCCCTGATAGGTACCGTCATGCAGAGCCAGTATGGAGCCTAGAGACGACTGCCAGAGCAAGCGATCATGACGAAACTCGTAAAAAAGACTTCCAAAAGATCTCCAAGGCTACAAACTGTGAGTTAAGCAAAGCTCAGGTGAAAAATAAGCGAATGGAGCCTTGGTAGTAATTGGAAGCGCCTAAGTTTGAAACGCGGGGGGAGGAGATTTCAAGCCCCCCCATCGGAGTAAACTGTAAAAAACTATTTTAAAGCGAAAATAAAGAGACTTTGAGCCAAACCAAGCGCATAAGAAGTTAAGCGAACGCAAAAGCTGCTAAAATATACGAAGCAGAATTAAAACGTATAACTTTTGCTTTGTTTTGGAAAACTTACTTCTTGTTGATATTATGGCTGGGAGAGGACGGAGAGCACCGGAGAAAAAGCTGGTGACCGGAAATAACATACCAACGACTCCCTCCCAGAACCAGGAAGCATCTACAGACTTTTCTTCGCTGTTAGCAAATGCACTGTGCCCTCTAATGGAACAGATAACTACTCTCAACACCAAACTGGACAATGTGCAAAAAAAGTTAAACCAAATGGACAAGAGAACTACAGCAACTGAGAAAACGTTGAAAAAGATGGAAAACAGACTGAGAGTATTAATAAAAGAGTGGATGAAGCAGAGAAGGACAGATTCTCGGATAAAACACAACTAATACAGCTCCAGCTGGAAAGATCCATGTATGTTCTACGTTTCCCTGGAATACCTGAGGATAAGAATGAGGACTTAAAGGAACTCTTGGCGGTTGCCTTGGCCCACTCTTGGTGGTTGCCTTGGCCCCACTAATGGATTACAAACAAGAAGACTTAATTAAGGAAATGGATATGGTGTACAGGACTTATCCGGACTTTATAAAGAAAAATAAACTCACAGGGGAAACTTATTTAAAATTCACGAAACGATCAACCAGAGAACTGGTGCTAAAGTCAACAATGGGGAAATCCTTAAAAATCAAGAATGAAGAGATAAAAATTTTGAAAGACATCCCATTCGACGTAAGAAAAAGGAGGAAACTATACAGGATGCTTACTCTCTCTCTGCAAAAAAAGGGAATATCGTATAGATGGCTATTTCCAGAAGGGTTGAGTTTTAATTACCAGGAAAAAAAATATAAAATTGACTCCATTCCAAAAGCAGAAAGATTTATGGATCAAATGTTTAATGTAAAAAAGAAGCAGAAGGAAAAGAATCTAAAAACGGATGCGAAGGAAGAAGAAGAGGAGGAGTCCTACTCACAGGACTCAACAAGCCAAATCTCCTCGTCATCATAATCATCTGAAGTATACCAGCTGCCTGGTGGACTGCAATCACCCAAAGGCTGCCTGAAAAGGCGCAGCCTTGCATGCGCTGCAGAACCTAGGGAAGTCCTGCAAGGCACGCATTTCTTCAGGCAGCTGGATCCACAGGGTAGGGGCCACTACTGAGACAGCTGACACAGGGCAGACAGTTTGTGGATCAGGGACCCTCAATGAATTCTGAGATGAAGATCAGAGAAGATGGGTTAGCCTGATCCAACATTGGCGTCTCTTATGTTCTTATGAGAGTATTTATGGCAGAAAGGCAGAAACGACGTTTTAACAGGTCCTACCAAACCAACCACATTTCCTTATTTGATCGAGTGATGAGTTTACTATATCGAGGGAATACTGTTGATGTTGTTTGCCTGGATTTCAGTAAAGCTTTTGACAGGGTTCCCCATGATGTTCTGATGGGTAAACTAGAGGACTGTTAGGATACTTAGGCAGATAGGGAACTGGTTGGAGAACCATGCTTAAAGAGTAGTTGTCAATGGCATTTCATCTGAATGGAGGGAGGTGTCCAGTGGGGTGCCACACGGCTCTGTTCTGGGCCTGGTACTTTTCAATATTTTATAAATGATCTGGATGAGGGTGACACCAAAATGGGAGGAGCAACGAACACACCAGAAGATAGAGTCAGAATTCAACAAGATCTGAACACATTAGAAAAGTGGGTAGATGTGGACAAGATGCAATTTAACAGGGATAAGTGCCAAGTTCTACATCTGGGTAAAAAAAAAATGAGGAACATGCATACTGGATGGGGGATACACGTCTGGGTAGAAGTGTGTGTGAACAAGATCTTGGGGTATGGGTGGACCGTAAGTTCAATATAAGCAGCCAGTATGATGCAGTGACAAAAAGGCTAATGTGATCTTAGGGTGTATCAACCGAGGCATAACATCCAAATTGCAAGATGTCACATTCGTGCTGTACACTGTGTTGGTCAGGCCACACCTGGAGTATCGGGTGCAGTTCTGGATTAAAAAAGGATGTGGACAAAGTGGAGCGAGTGCAGAGGAGAGCAATGAGGATGATCGGAGGCCTGGAGGCCAAGCCCTAAGACAGTGATGGCAAACCTTTTAGAGACTGAGTGCCCAAACTGTAACCCAAAACCCACTTATTTATCGCAAAGTGCCAACACGGCAATTTAACCTGAATACTGAGGGTTTAGTTTAGAACTGAGGTTTTAGTTTAGAAAAAACAACTCATACATTAACATCTTCTGTAGCACTTTATTTGAACTAAGTGCTAATACATGAGTTTAAGGTCAGTGAAAAGGGAAATGACAAGAGGGAAAGTGCAAGGAATACAACTGCTGAGGTAACTACTCCAACCACTTAGCGAATGGGTTACTAACAGTGCAGCACTACAGTGCATACTGCCACTTTCCACACATTCTTAAGATACTCAGTAAACATGCAGTGAGCAAACTTCGAAGAGGAAAGCTGTTGTCAAGGGTATTACAATATCTGACTCCTAGCCTCTGCTTCGCTTGTTAGAACAAAATCTCGTCTCGCAGGCCCAGGGGCACCGAGACTTTATCATTAGAGGGGCAGCCCTGGAGAGCATTCAGGTAAGCAACCGATTTCTAAGAGGGCCAGTTTTCATAAGAACATAAGAGAAGCCAATGTTGGATCAGGCCAGTGGCCCATCCAGTCCAACACTCTGTCACACAGTGGCCAAAAATACCAGGTGCCATCAGGAGGTCCAGCAGTGGGGCCAGGACGCTAGAAGCCCTCCCACTGTTGCCCCCCCCCAAGCACCAAGAATACAGAGTATCCCTTGCCCCAGACATAAGAACATAAGAGAAGCCAATGTTGGATCAGGCCAGTGGCCTATCCAGTCCAACACTCTGTCACACAGTGGCCAAAAATACCAAGTACCATCAGGAGGTCCATCAGGACCCTTCCCATTGTTGCCCCCCCCAAAGCATCAAGAATACAGAGCATCACTTGCCACAGACACAAATAACTGCTCTTAATATTTATGTTTTCTTTTATTGCTGTATTTATGGTTTTTAATTGGGTTTATGTTTTTGTGGCTTTCTAGTATTCTCTCCAGTCTGCCCATATGGGTTTTTCTTTACACCACCCTCCCAGTCCATGGGGCTCTGCAGTAAGCATACACCAACTCGGAGCTGCTGTTCTTTATTCAGTATATATCTCCAGTAACTGGCATTATGCTTATGGCACATATAGTCTGGCCCAACAAAGTGACATCTATGTCAGATCTGGCCCTCGTAACAAATGAGTTCAACACCTCTGCTCTAGGCTGACGCTGAATTGAGCTGGGGGTTGGAGTAGATGGCCTGCACGGCCCCTTCCAACTCTGTGATTCTAAACAAGAGCATATTCAAAGAGAGGCCATCTAGTTGGAGTTTATCTATCTCCATTGTTTTATCAGATTGAGACACTAAGAAACAAAATGCTGAGCATTTCAGAAAAGAGGATGTCGCTGTAGAGATGCCAAGTTAAACTACAACTTTGGCAGTCTGCATAGGGAGCCAAATATTAACACAGAACTCCCAACAGTTATCAAATATTAACTGCAGTACCAAAACACAACACTTGTTGGAATTTACTAAGTACCAAGTCACAGCTAGTCATAATTTTAGCATGTAACAGAGCGGGGAAATCTTTAAAACAAACACACACACACACACACACACACACACACACACACACTAAGAGAGAGAGAGAGAAAACAAAATGCTATCTGTCTTAATAATGCAGAACATTACCTGCCTTGGCTGGTTGACCTTTGCTCCTGAAGACATTAATAGCCGAATTAAATCCAGGTAGCCGCCTTGGGCAGCCAGGAACAGGCTAGTAGCTCCATCCTTTATATGAAAAAAATATATAATTATATTTTAAGGTAGCAAAAGGTTCTTTTTTTAAAAAATCATTGTATTTATTGTTTTTCCAATAACATATAGTAATACAAATTGACAAACTTCAAAATGATCTACTTTAACAACAAGTAGTTCTCATACACCTAGTTTTAGTTTCTGATCTTATACAATTCTATTATCGCTTTTATCTCAAACCTTATCCTGTTATGACTAGCCTAATTTCCGTTAATTTCTATCTTCTTTATCTTCAGCCAGTTATATATTATTCCCCATCTTTCCCAAAAAATTTCTTCCGATTTATTTTGTAACTCTATATTTACTCTGTCCATTTCCGCTACTTCCAACACCTTATATTTTAATTTCTTTATGGAGGGTAAGTTATTAGATTTTCACCGTTTTGCTATCAAGATTCTTGCCGCGGTTAATATATATATATAATTATCTGCTTATGTCTTTTGATTGTATCCGGAATCATATTTAGAAGATATATTTCTGGTAGTAGTGGTAATTTAATTTTTAATATTTTTGTTAATATTCCCTGGACTTTTCCCCAGAAACTCTGCACCTTTTTAAGGTAGCAAAATATTCTTAATAGGACTGTCTCCTATCATTGAACCACAAAGCAAGAATCCTTACATTTTCCCATAACCACATATAAGCTTTTGCAGCTTAACACAAGGCTGTCTTCACTCACCACTGATAAAAAGCAAAAGGCAAGGCTGCTGTTTAATTAGTCTGCTCTCATCCTTATATGTAATCCATTTAAAGATTAAGTGGTAAGTCTTGAGGCTTTCTGAGCAATTGTTCCAGCAAGTGTGTATTTGAAGACTGCCTTTCATGGAAGTCAGCCAGTCAGAAAGCCCCTTGCTAGTATAACTGAGCAACAGAAGATATAGGAAGACGCTTGGATGAGAGACACTTCTTTTTATTTATAAAACTTCCTTACGTGTCTTAACATTAAATGCATTAACATTTTTAAATGGCTACTGAGAATAGTTTGATTACGCAAGGGCCTGGATCTTCCAAATCTTTCTGAACTATTTTATTAAACTATTCAAAGCAATCTAATAGTCTTAGAGTCTTTAGGTGAGCACTTAACCCTGTGACTGATTTTTCAGACTCTTCAGTGTGTTTAGCTCCAGCTGCATCATGACCAATTTCTTTAAGAAATGCAAAAGCAGTTACCCATTTAATATTGTAAGTGGGATTTTTAAAGAAAATTTAATCCTAGAAAAAATTGAAAGTAGAATATACAAATACTAGGAGTAATGCCCGTTGTGGGAAGAAATACAATGAGATCTAGAAGGAAGCTCCAGATAAGTGTCCCGACCAATGTTCCCTCTAAGCTATGGAGTCTTGTGAGCAAAAACTCCCAACTGTGGCTGGTGGGGCGCCAGAGGGAAGCGGAAAATGGAGGGAGGAAAGCCATGTTTCTTTCCTTCTGCTTAGCTATAAGGCAGGGCTGTCCCAAGTCATTTTGCTGCACCAAGTGGGTAGAATGGGAGGACAGTCTCATGGTAACAGATATGGTTCTCTCCACCTCTGACTTATTTTTTGATGGGGAGGGGGGTGTTATGCAGTGGCAGCTAAGGTAGAAAAGCACCTCTTCCTCTGCCATGTCTTCTGAGTTACAGCTCCATAGCCAGTTCCAGGGTTGCCAACTCTGGGCTGGGAAATACCTGTAGATTTGAGGTGTAGAGCCTGGGGAGGGCAGGGTTTGGGGCGGGGAGGGACCTCA